CAAACAATGACTTTTCGCGCCAATTTCAAGCTGACTTGCGCTGACCCTAACCTCCACTAAAAGTTAACAGCGCCGCCTATACTGGATTCTGCAAACTCTACATCATCCCCTCCCCGGGGAAAGAATGCGTCCATCATTCACGAACAACAAATTTAACTAGAAAAACGCCATTAACAAGTTAAGGTTCTAAAAAACAAGAACAATTAAAACTACAAGTTGACCACCATGTCCTACTCCTGAAAGAATTCCTCCGAAGTAATCCTCGCGATCAAGGAATCCTCATCGTAGAGGTCAAAAACGCGCCTCCGCTTGACGAGCTTTCCTGTTGCCTCATCTGATTGGCCCGAAACCGTTGCAAAACTTGGGGGTATGATAACTTTCCTTAAGGATGTTGCACCTTGTGGCGAAACCAAACGCCTCACGTCATCTGGAGACAAGTGTAATTCCAGGCACGGTCCGGACTTCTATTCGGGCGTCTTGGAGATCTCGGGCCTCTTGGGAGCTTTGGGGGAGTTGCTGACTGATACCGGCGACTTGTTGCCTGCATCAAGATTGCCTGTGTGAGCCCGTCGGATGTGCCTCGCCAAGTCGTTCTTCCGGCAGTAGATTATGTCGCAAAACGGACAGGGGAACCGATCACGTGGTTGGTGTTGTTCGGCCATGTGCCTTGCCAATTTTGACGTGGCCCCAAATGACTTATCGCATTCGAGGCACCTGCAGCTTTCCGCTCGTTCATCATGTCGTTGGTGGGTTCGGTCAGGTGTGGGCGATCGGCGAGGAGAATCCCGGTGATGACGGCTGTGACTTCTTCTCGGCATCTGCAGAGAATACAACAGAGAACAGGGGATTAGGTTAGTTCGCATTTGCTCCGTAGTTAAAAATGTTATTCGGTCCATTCGCCATAACGCTGAGGAGGTCGACGTTTTCTGTTGTGCCCTTCATGGTGACCGCATGTGTCTGAAGCTTTCTTAGGTTCAGCAACTGGTGGAACCCCAATCTCTCCATTGACGACTTCAATATGTTCCTGCATGTTGTGGTCTTCTGCTGATTTCTGTGAGAACCCTTCTGTGGTAGCCTCTTTGCTCTCCTTGCCTCCACCAGAAGAATCCGGCTGCAGAACAACTCGAGGGGCTTCCTCTTCCCCCTCCTCTTCGAGCTCCTCGGACCCAGGAAGTTGCTGTAATGCACTGCTCTTTGGCCTCCACCATGACTTGTAAACTTCACCCACAAAGCGCTTCGGACGATTAATATGGACAACTTTGGGCTTATGGCGTGATCCTCGTTGGATTCTGACGTTGACATCATTTAGCACTTCAGTTACAAGGTATGGGCCTACCCATCTTGGCTGGAGCTTGGGAGACAGCCCAACAGTTCTTTGCTCAACTGTCAACATCACAGCAGTCCCTGGTTGCAGACACTTCGGCTTGCCTGCTACTTTGTAATTCCGCCTTTGGTGCTTTGCGGCCTTATGAAGGTGTACTCGTGCCTTCTCATGGGCCTCGTGCATTCTTTCTCTCAGGTGTATGGCATATTCAGTGATTTCTTGGGGTTCTTCTGGGGATCTTAAAACCAGGTCTACCGGGAGTTCTACTTCCCTACCAAAAGTGAGATAGTTGGGTGTTTGTCCAGTGCTGCTATGCTCTGATGCCCGATATGCCATCATCACTAGTGGTAAATGAAGGTCCCAGTCCAACTGATTTTCAGCAACATAGGCGCGCAGCATGTCTTTAAGCGTGCGATTGAATCGTTCAACTTGGCCGTCGCTTTAGGGATGGTGGGGACTCGTCCTGGTCTTATCTATTCCAAGGATTACACACATCTCTTGAACAGCTTGCTTTTGAATTGGCGACCCTGGACCCTGGTCGCTATGCAGCTGTCGCGGTACACCGAGTCGAGAAACAAACTCTCTGACAAAGACATTGGCAACCGTCTGGGCTGTAACATCCTGTAGGGGAAAGGCTTCCGTCCACTTAGAGAAGTAGTCCGTGATGACAAGGTTGTATCGGTTTTTTCTTGTTTCTGTAATCGGAAATGGTCCTGTAATATCAATGGCGACCCTTTCCATCGGAACCCCGGAGACCTGTTGTCTAATTGGTGCTCTGCTCCAGTTGGGAGGAGGTTTGCGTTTGGCACATTGGAGGCATTGGGTACACCACGTCACCACTTAGTCTCTCAAGTCCTCTACTAAGAATCTGGACTTCACCTTTGCATGCATTTTGTTAATGCCGAGGTGGCCAGCTGAAAGGTCATGAAGTTGCTTGAAAACGTCCCCATGGAGGGACCTGGGGACTACTAAAAGCCACCGAGAGTGGTGCCGATCATCCTCGTTCCAACGCCTGTATAACACGCCGTCGTGCAAACAAAGCTGCTGCCATGCCCCCCATAAGGTTTTGAGCCACGTACCCTCAGCAGACACATCTTTTCAAGTTGGTCGTGGATTTCCACTTTCCAGCCAGCCTATGATCTTCTGCAGAGTCTGGTCACCTGTTTGTTTTTCTCTCAACTCCGAAGCAGTGAAACCTTTCAGCCAACAGAAAGACGACACCTCACGAATGAACTGACTGCTGTCTGAACTGTGTGTATGATGCTGCGCAGGTAGTGAATGGACTGGTTCAGTTGGCAGGTCTGGATCTTGCTCTTGAATTTTCCACAACATTTCTATTTGTTGGCATTTCTCCTTTGTGCTATGGTGCTGGTCTCCCTTAACTTGTGTCCGTCCCTCACGCGATGGTTGTTCCCTGCTGTCGTATCCTTGCTCAACTTGGTCGCAACTTGGAAGCTACAAACCTCCTGTAGTATGATGCCAGGCCCAAGGGACTTCTCACCTCCTGTATGTTTCTTGGTACTGGCCATTCCTCGATTTGCCGCGTCTTGCTTGGATCTGTCTTGACTCCCCCTTTTGAGACAATATGCCCCAAGTAGGAAACCTCTTCCTGAAGCAGATGACATTTATCCGGCTTGAGCTTCAGTCCGGCCTGCCGTATGCGATCTACCACCACTCCCAGTCTGTCAATGTACGACTCAAATGTCTTGGAGAATATAATGACGTCATCTAGGTACACAAGACATATCTGCCACTGTAGCCCATGGAGGACTCTCTCCATTAGACGTTCAAAGGTCGACGGGGCATTGCAAAGCCCAAACGGCATGACCCTAAACTGGTACAGCCCGCAATGACTTGAGAAAGCTGTCTTTTCCTTGTCTGCCGGGCTCATTGGTACTTGCCAATACCCCGAGGCTAGGTCCAATGTTGTAAAATATCTGGATCCTTCAAGTGTTTTGAATGAGTCGTCTATTCGGGGTATTGGGAAAGCGTCCTTTCTAGTGATTGCGTTGAGCCTACGAAAATCAACGCAGAATTGAACTGAACCATCTTTTTTTTTCACGAGCACAATAGGCGCTGCCCAAAGTCCGGTTCTATGATGCTGCCGTCCATCATCTTCTTGATTTCTTTCTCTACCGTCTCTTTCTGAAGGAGGGGTATGCAACGAGCCCCTTGTCTTATGGGATTCGCACTTCCGGTGTCTATAGAGTGTTCAGTTAAAGAAGTAAGGCCAATGTCTCCTTTATGTTGAGAAAACACATCTCGGTGTTCGCAAATAAGCCTGTGTATGCGGCCCCTCTGTTCCTCGCTTAATTGGGACGAAGTTCTCACTTCTGTGCTGGAAATTGGGGGGCCAATAACGTCTACGGTCTGGAACAAACCCGCTGCTGTTCCCTTTCGCAAGATAACGGTGTCCTCACTGGGGTTTAAGATGCGAAGCGGAACCCAAGACGTATCATACCGAGTCACTGCTGGGGCGAGAAGTATGCTGTGCTTCTTCAGTAAGCTTTGGATCGGTTCAACAATCCCAATGCCATTTGCACAGTTCTGTCGCTCTATGTCACCTTCGACAACAATCTCAGAAAATGGTGGAATAGCTACTGTATCTTTCACCGTCACTCGGCAGCTCTGTTGTCTTACGTTGATGTTTCTCAGAGGAACTTCCAAATTTCCATACACGAGGTGTCTTCTTCCAACGTCGATGACGCAGTTGTGCTTGTCCAGGAAGTCCAATCCAAGAAGAATGTCATTATGAATATCAGCTATCACCATTTCGTGGTGCACTTTTCTACCACCTAGCTGAAGCTCGACTGTTGCCTCCCCATAAACACTTAGCAATGTCTCGTTTGCTTGGAAAACTTGCACGCTAGAACTCTTGATTATTGGCGTGTTATCAAACTGATCTACCACTCTTTTGGAAACGATGGAGATAGTCGCACCCGTATCGAGAAGCATTTCTACTGGAGTTCCGTTGATGTGCCCAGCTACATGGAGGCCCGCCCCAACCGGGGCTATGGTTCCGCTATGAAACACTTTCTGTGGTGGCCTTTCGTGCTTGGTGTTTGCCTATCTGTTCCATACGCTGCTCAAGCTTGGATACGGTACTGTCGTGGGGTTCACATTTGCTGACCTCAATGACAACCACCTGTTCCTTCCCTTCCCCTACGGAGCGTAGTCTCTTGGTGTTGTTCTCCTGCTCAGCACCTTTTATCGCTTCAAGTTCCATCGCAGCTGTGAGTGCTTCTTCTAAATTACAGGGACGCATTTGAAGCGTCCGTGTCCGCATGTCTCCATCTGCCAAAGCATCAAGAAAATAATCTCTGGCCATTGTTGCCACCCCGGCAGCTGGAAGCTCGCCAAAAGTCTTCTCAACGAGAAACCGAATATCCTGTGCGAGCTCCGACAGAGTCTCTCCATTTTTCTGGCGCCCGTTCTTAAGTTGCACCCTATATAGTTCCTTCCGTCCATCTGGTTCAAACCTTGCTTTCAAAGCATTCGCCAGACCGCTGAATGTTAATGGTGTCCCATCGTTTGTCTGACCCTGCACCACCTGTTGGGCTGCTCCGGCCAAGGATACAGCAAGATACTCCGTTTTCTCTATCTCCCCCATCCGTTAATACTGGCACACATTTCAAAGTGTCGATAGTATGCAGTCCATGAAGTCGTCCCATTGTATCTATCGGGTCGCAGCTGCTGCAATCGTGCTTGTGTTTGAATGTTGTGGAAAAGCACCAGCGGCAAGAACATTTCGCTGACCGACTCCTGGTGTATCATTCCATGGTCGCTGACCTACTGCAATGTGTTGCTGCGCCGACCCGACGCCTGTGGCTCCGTGCTCGTTGTGTGCACCGACGAAATGTTGATTGACAACCGATGAACCGGGCGGCGCAACCGATGAACTCGCCGATACCCTGAAAACCGACGCATCGCCACCTGGCGCTTTGGCCGTCGGTATGACCCCTGAACCGCCAGCGGCACGAACATTATCATACCCTCTTGTACCGTTCCATGGTCGCTGACCAACTCCGATGTGTTGCTGCGCCGAACCAACGCCTGTGGCTCCGTGCTCGTTGTGTGCACCGATGAACTGTTGATTGCCAACCGATGAACCGGTCGGTGTAACCGATGAACCCGTCGTTATTCCGAAAACCGACGCATCGCCACCTGGCGCATTGGCCGTCGGTATGACCCCTGAACCGCCAGCGGCACGAACATAATCATACCCTGGTGTACCGTTCCATGGTCGCTGACCGACTCCCATGGGTTGCTGCGCCGAACCGACGCCCCATGCTCCGTGCTCGTGGTGCTCACCTATGAATTGTGGATTGACGAACGATGAACCTGTCGGTGCAACCGATGAACCCGTCGGTGCCCCCACAACCGTCGCAGCGCTATCCGGTGCGCTAGCCGTCGGTATTATTATTGAACCGCCAGCGAAGTGCAGTCGCCCTTGTCCGTCGTGCCACAGTTGCACTGCGGAGCCATTGCTGTGCTGGGTTGTCGTGTCCCCGTTGACTCAATGTACCTGCCTTGTACCGACGAGTGGTGAGGAAACGATCGGTGGACCAATCAGTGCATCGGTGGCTCCGTCGTATGATGCGGCGCCGTGAAAGAGTGGTTGCTCCTGTGCTCTGCTGTGGGGTGACGGTGTGGGCGTGGAGGCGTCGGCCGGATACCCTGCGGTTGTCCACTGCAACGAGCTGGTCGCTGGCGGGAGGATCCCCGGTAGCGACAGGAATGAGTGCTCCGGGTCAAAAGCTACACGGGGAACTTCATGCGGCATGTCAACTACAAAACGTGACATGTCACCTTGCGGGGCAGTGAAAATGGGGGAATTGTATGGAACCATGGTGTCGGGAGGGAAACGGGTGGAGGGGGCATGGATGGACGAGTAGAAGGGTGCATTGGGTTGGTGTCTGACATGTCGGTGGATCAATCCGACAATTTTATTCAGTAGACAGACAGAATAAGACACAAATGACACCAATATTCCGGTTTCTTAACTTCTAATTCTTTCCTCCAAACATCCAAACAATGAACACACGATATCAGTATTACTTGTGATTTACCTTTATCTGCACTATACTGGTAATCGCAACGTGGAGCCTGGGTTGTGTACATACGGAGCTGGCCTTTCAGAACAACCTTCACAACCAAGATCTGTACAGCAACTAACCGCGCACGCGCACGCACGCACTTTTTGCGCAAATTTCACGCTGACTTGCGCTGACCCCAACTTCCCAGGATCATCTCCCTAGCTATTGGGCTATTATCTAAGAGCAGATTTGATAAAATTAGGGTCCAAAAATAGGTCCTATTAGCACGAGAAAATGTAGGGACGCCATTGGTAAATTTGGCAGCATGCAGGCTCAGCAATTACCGGCACACTCTCGCAAAAAGTGGTTCGGCCAGCTTTCTATACTCTTTCTCATTGGCTTGGGGTTTTGTGCGTAAACCTTATTAGTCAGCCGATCACGATCTATTGACTTCGGCAAAACCGCAAGTCCCATCATAAAGAATGAGTTAACTAGACCATTTTTTTCCAAGAGTGTGTTTCTAATGTTGTGGCCCTTTAAAGCGTACTGTAAGGCCGGATATCGGGGGTCCACTTACAAGTCCAACGCCTCATAGGTCCGACGCCTCATTGAAGTCCGAAATTCCGGACTTATGAGGCGTCGGACTTATGAAGTGTCGGACCTATGAGGCGGATTTAGGCTATTAGTCTAGCTTTACTGGTCTTCATGCATATGATGCTCCGATGGACTTTTACACAATACACGGTATGTTGTACATGTACCGAATGCATACTGTACTCGTGCGGTATGGGAAAAGGGTTTACGAATTGGAACACATGCACAAAGTTGAATTGGCAAGTCAAAAGAACTATGTTCTATCTTTTTAATTGAAAAAAAAAGAAGTTAATCTCGAACTTTAAAAACATCAAACGTTTTGAATGGCCTCTAATGCAGTAGTCTTACACCTGAAACATACATTGTTTCCTTCTGATTGTCGTATAGTTGTAAAAATACCAATTTGATATTTTATTAGCCACATTGTTTTATAGAGTGACCATCATGGCATTGTTGGCTTGCATCTATGTTTTGATTTAATTAATTTCAAAGTGCTGTTGGTTGGTGTGGAGAGCCAGCAGAAGGTGTGTTACTCCGGTCCCCCACCGGAACCTGATCCTGATAATCCGGATGACTGGATGAAGCAAGTCATGCAAGAGATACGGAAGCGTTGCCCGGGAAGGAGGCAACCTGCCCCAGCCGGTATGTGGAAACCTTCCCAAGCTGGTAAGTCGGGTTTCTAACAACTTGTCATCGAGTCTAGCAACTCCCCAGAGTAAATTAAAAAAAAAAAAGATTGAAAAAACCTTTGTTGCATGCTCATGCACATTGAATTTTCTCCCAAATTCAAAATGTTTCTCACTGCCGAATTCGAGGGAGGGGGAGGCTTTTTTATATTTGCAATAACGAGGCCCTACAATCAATCTAGAACCTATCCCAGCTGGTACGGGGAAACCTACCCCAGCCGATACGGAGAAACCTACCCCAGCTGGTGCGGAGAAACCTACCCCAGCTGGTACGGGGAAACCTACCCCAGCTGGTACGGAGAAACCTACCCCAGCCGATACGGAGAAACCTACTTCGGCTGGTACGGAGAAACCTACCCCAGGTGGTACGGAGAAACCTACCCCAGCTGGTACGGGGAAACCTACCCCAGCTGGTACGGGGAAACCTACCCCAGCTGGTACGGGGAAACCTACCCCAGCCGATTCGGAGAAACCTACCTCAGCTGGTACGGGGAAACCTACCCCAGCTGGTACGGGAAAACCTACCCCAGCTGGTACGGAGAAACCTACCCCAGCCGATACGGAGAAATCTACCTCAGCTGGTACGGAGAAACCTACCCCAGGTGGTACGGAGAAACCTACTCCAGCTGGTACGGGGAAACCTACCCCAGCCGATACGGAGAAATCTACATCAGCTGGTGCGGAGAAACCTACCCCAGCTGGTACGGAGAAACCTACTTCGGCTGGTACGAAGAAACTCACCTTATCTGACTCGTGGAAACATACCTAACTTTTAGTCGTCTTAACCCTGCGCAGCGTTTACAAAAAATGTTTATCAGAACTCGCCAACGGTGGCCCTTTGGGCCACAGGTACTTCCCCGCACTACGCAAGACCCTATTCATGTCAAAACAACAAAAGCCAGTTGCCAGACAGTGTCCAGGCAGTTGCCAGACAGTGCACTTAAAAGATAATTGACTGGCGGCTGTGGTTTGCGGCTATGAAGGGAGATTGCTGTGTCAAGTTACAGGTGTTTGTATATGTTTCAATGAGACTTGGCAGGAGGCCTGGTCGAAAGTTTGTTGAATCGGCTTGGGTGAAGCCCTGGCTGCAAAGTTCATTGAACCAGCTGATTTGGCATGGGTTGAATGAGGATTAGATGGAAGGTGACCGTCATTGGCCCTCATTCCCCCCCCCCAAAAAAAAAAAAAATGCGGTCACCTGCGTACCCAAGGTACGGAGGTCACTCTGCGCAGGGTTAAGATATCCCAAAGCGTAGGTTTGACTAATAAGCATATGGATCTGTTCTATTACAAGGTTATTGCATTGATTTTGAACATTTAATTTTTTTTTTATCCGTTAATCAAGTTTCATCGAAAGCTGCTTAATTACCCAACTCCTCCCAATTGAAAAAAAAAAGTCCATTTAGGTGTTTTTGTGCAACCCCCCCCCCTCCCCCCAAGAAAACCAACAAAGATAAACAACGGAAAAACCATTGGTGTATTGTCATGTTCATTGTATTTTCTCCCAAATTCAAAATGTTTCTGACAGCCAAATTCGAGGGAGGGGGGGGGGGGGCTTTTTCTTATTTGCAATAACGAGGCCCTACAATCAATCTTATGTTTGTAAGGTAAAATTTGCAGTTACGATCAAATTATCATTCTCTCAATATCACTGCTTTTTAAAACTATGAATATGAATACATATTTCATTTGCTTACTCATTTGTTGCCAGTAGAGTGTTCCAGTCCGCAGCCCCTTGGTATGGAGGACGGGACAATCCAAGATGATCGCATCACGGCGTCCAGTATTTTGGGCACTACATATCCAGCCCGGAAGGCACGCCTCAACATTGACAACGGATGGGCAGCCTGGAGGTAGATATCAAAGGGAAATACAACACCTAACACTTCACTCTCATATTCACTCTGTATCATTACAATGCCACAAAACGCGCCTGAGTGTGTTTAATTAATGAACATCTAATTGCCTCATTGGGGTTTTGTTTCTGAACGTTTTGTTTCATTTTGTTTGGCATTTTTTTTCTTTTTTTTGCAATGGTTCTCCTTTCCATTATCCAAAAAAAAGTTATCATCCCCGGCCAAAGCCCAACCCGGACTCATGCACATTTGAATTGCATACTGTAACGTGTTTCAATAATAATATTTGATTTTCAAATCCATTCCACAACAGGATTTGCAGGGTATTGTTATGTCATTGTTCCTCATCCTCTCTTCACTCTGTGTACAGTAACGATGCCAATCCCTGGATCGAGGTGGACCTCGTGCAGAGTACAGTGGTGACGGGCGTCACCACACAAGGCGGCTACGGTGTATATGTGACTGCGTACAAGGTGTCGTATAAGAAGCAGCCCTCATCCGACCGTGAACACGTGACGGATGGAAAAGGAAACATTAAGGTAAACATCAATCTTTACTAAGTCTTGCTGTAAGCTGCATTTAACTTTCGTTCGTAAAACAGTTTTGAAAAGAAAATGTAAAGGTTTAATTTTCTCATATTTTGTTTAGGCTTTTATCGCAATATGATAACTTCATTATTTACGACTTTGTACGGTTTCATGCTCATGCAACCATTTAGCCATTCTGAAATCGCGTCTGATTATACCACGTGTGAACAAAAAAGCATGTCCTGCTTTTGATTGTTTTTCTCAGTTTTTTAAAAGATTTTTCATTCAAATTCACCACCTCCGTCATTCAATTTCATCCACGAAAAATTTCACACGCTTAAACAAAACCAATTTAGTCCAATTTAGTCCAGATTTTGGTCCCAAAATAGCAAAACGCTCTGAAGCTGAAACAGAAACTTATGTCTATAATGTCTATAATAAGTCATTATGTCTATAACATGGCTGAGAATGATCAGAAAAGTGAGTGCCCACCAAAGACAAGCAGTTTACTTTATGTAGTTATTACGGTTTGTTGAAATTCTGTTTCGAAGGAAGACCCCGTCAGCTAAGAATGCCCACTTTTTTGTAGTTTAGGTCCCAGACTTTACTACAAGTAGGCTATTTTTTTTAATACAAATCTTCGTTGATTGCGTTGGGATTCATTTCAGGTGTTCATCGGTAACTATGATGCCTACACCCCGGTCACTAACCTGTTTGATGAGAGTGTGGTCGCCACGGTAGTGCGCATTGAGCCTACTGAATGGCAGAATGGTCTTGCTCTGCGATTGGAGCTGCTTGGATGTCGCCGTGGTTAATTCAGCTGAAGCATTCAGGTGATTCTCTCCGATAGCGCTGACAAAATTTCACTCTATATAAAAGTAAATGCGACGGTAGATAATATTAAGGTTGATAATAAATACCATGCTTTGTAGGAAGAATATTTACACAAAGTAAGGATACACTAAAGATTTAGAATAACCACTACGGACTATTATGAGTTGTTTTGTCTTTAGCTTAAGAAGTATCTCCCGGAAAAAAATATAGGTTTTACCGGCTATTTTAAAACGTTTGTCATTCGAATTTACTGTTTGTAATATTCAAATTGGTTAATCAACATCGATTAAGTTTAATTGCGTTTTATTTTATGTTCAATTTCGTCTTTTGTCAGACAATTTCAAATTCAGTTCAAGCAAATTGAAACAATAAGCACACACTTTCTTCTCGGGTTATTCAATTTTGTCTCATCTACGCCGAAGACGTTATTCAGAAATTCAAATCGTGTGATTGATTTATATAAGACGAATTTGATCTCTGAATGCTGCCATTCGGCAAAAGCTTAGTGATGGCGAATTTTCTCGAGCAGGTGACTAAAGAGGGTGACCAAACTTTGAAATTGAATAGTAAATGACTAAATCGAATTTGATAACGGGTGTGAAATTTTGCCCGGACGAAATTGAATGTTGGAGTTGGTGAATTTGAGTGCAATATGTTTTAAAATAGCCGGGAAAACCTATACATTAGGGTGATGTTCACAGTTTATATTAAAATTAATGAACCTATTATTGCCAAGTTTCCTACGTGGAATGCAATATAAACAAGATTATCTCAAATTCAAAAAAATTCAAAAATAAGGGAAAAAAATTACCTGATGAATAATAATAGTAAAGTATATATATATATATATATATATATATATATATATATATATATATATATATATATATATATCTATTTAAAGTATTTCCGCTCTAAACAGAAACGTCTAAACTTTTGCAGTGCTTTGGCTGCATAGTTGTTTGTTTATTGTATATAATATTAAGATTACGCTGTTTATTGTGTTATTATCGTAAATCTTCAATACAATATAGAACGTTTCCATGCAGTGTTCTACATAAATAGATTTGAATTGTTAAAACGCGATATTTCACACACAAAATGAAAAAAATCGAAGTGGCTAGTGGTAAACCATCTTGAAAATTCAAATCTTTTTAGTGATCAAACTTTGAGTTTAAAGGCCGGTTCATACTTTACACATTTGCAACTGCAAAGCGCATTTGACGTAAGGAAAGCATTCGCTACGAAATGCCTTGGTTTTGAAATGTGTTCTTTTGCGAATTCCCGGCAGGAAAAGTTGGCATGACGTCACAAGGTCGCGTTCGCTTTCGTTCCGAGTATGAAATGGTGTTAAATGTAGTCTTTGCTTTATTATGTTTAAGCATGTCATGAACCGATGTATTTTTGCTGTCAATGTAAGGAATTGAACTCACGATATCAAATAGTCATATAATAATTTAGGTGAATAGTATAAGGTGTGTAGTGTATTGCTGCCGTAATGTAACATTTTTATTGGCATTTGTAATTATGGTGTTCGATATGGAAAATATTTAAATACAAATACGTGTATACATTTATGTGTAACAAAGTTAATTAATACAGTTTTAGACAATATTTTTTTTCAGTTATATCATTTTGATACGTGATTACTAGGATGTATGGGTCATCAAAATACCCTAATTTCAAACTAAGGGTCAATTTGTATTAAGAAGAAAACTACATGAGTATTGACACATAAAGTGTTATGTTCATTTGATGCCGAGCTGCCATAACAAGAAGCTAAGAGGAAGCAATCTTTATCTCATTGAAGCACATACTTACCAATATTGTGCAATTATAATTCAAATGATTGTATACGCTTTGTGAATATGAACATGCTTGTGAAATAAAAAAAAAACCATAGAAACATTCACTCGTTTAATTTTTTAGTTGATCAGTTGATGTGCTTTGCGTATTAAAAATGACGTGTACAAAACGACTTGCTGCCTGTCCATATTTGATTGTAATGATTAAATACATCAGAAATGGAGAGAAGAAAATCCCACTTTGTACTTCTATCCGCGTATTTAGCAAAGTCTCGTAATCAAGGTACCGTTATCGTCTGTACCAACTTTATTTTACGAGCAGAGAGCGCCTAGCAACACTGACCCATTCCTATAGAACCCAACGCCCCATCCTATACAATACTTTTGTTGTTTTGCTCTGTTTACTAGCTGTTTTTATATAATTTAAAGGCAATAAGGCCCTGAGACAAGGAGCTTAAAGATCGCAGTTTCAGTATCATAATCACCGAGCCAAGTGTACACATCGGATCGCGACGCTCCGTTAAGTTGTATCTGTACCGGCTAGGATGTATTTATGCATGTATTCTATGGGCAAATGACTCTTTAGGCTTCCCTTCCATTGTCACGTCACGAAGAGGTTTGATTTAATTTTTCATATTTCAATCCCTTCTGACTCGTAGGGCGTATCCTATCAACACTGCCTTGAACTTTGTAGGCACAATACATGTATCTTCATTGTAATATCTTTAATATTACGGCCCTCTCGACAGTGTTGGAGTCAAGACCTCAGAGTCCTAGACCGAGACCAAGACCGAGACCTCATAGTCCGAGACCGAGACCAAGACCGAGACTAATTCCCCATTCGAGACCGAGACCGAGACCGAAACCTCATAGTCCGAGACCGAGACCTCATTTTAAAATAAATAAATAAATAAGTAACATGCGAGGGCGCACTCAATCCAAGATGGCGGCGCCCATGTTCCGTGAAAACTTTGAGGACCGAAATAAAAACGTAAAATCACTCAGCTTCAATCCTACTGAAGTCAAAGCTTGCCGCCACCTTCCGCCTGATGACTAACCCGAGCATTGCAATGCTCATACCAACGCTGTTGTACTTGGGAGTGGATGTGATGTTAATGGGCGGCCATTTTACAAAGGTGGGTTTGAACTCTTGATGGTAGCAGACATGCCGATAGACTGGTTCCTCGACCTGACAATTTCCCCCGACGTCCACACGTCTAAATTGTAGGTCAGGCAGCCTCCTTGGCTAAAAATAAACCGGCATGACGACATTGACGGCCTTTTTTTCAAAGCTCGGCTTCGTTTCCGAATTTGCTTTATCACTTAAAGCTTTTAATGTTCCTATCAAATTTTTAAAATAAATCACTGTAAGAAAACATTGACTAATGTTGACCTGGGATCTTGAAAATTAGGCACCCAAATAGCACTGTTAGCAGGCGGAACCGAATGAAGACCGAGTTTTGGAAAATCTCAGTAACGGTCGTCAAATTTAAAATAGTACATGACGAAGCAAAAAGTTCGCGCATACGATCCGATCGATGCACAAAATCGTCGTTCAATTTCAAGTTTTCTAAATAAAAGCAATGAATATTAATTATCAACTCATTAAAAAAAGTTTTTAATAAGCAATAAACAGTTAATTTAAACAATATTATACTTGGAAAAACTCGGGCGCTATCCGATTGTCGAAAAAATTCGGCAAACTTCGGACATTTTCGTAAAAAGGAGGAATTCCTCCCGTTTTAGTCACGTGACATAAATTGTAATACATGTACAATGTATTACCGGAGGCTACCTGACCTAAGATTCATCAGAAATAGTCAGAATCGTTTGGTCTGGGAACCAGACTAACATGCCGAATGATCACGCCTGCGCACAACCGAAAGATTCACCGAAACAGGCTTGGATTTATCGGTTTTACATGTTGTGCAAGTTGCCAACCAAATTAAAACTAACCACTGCAAAAGTTAAGTTAGACGTATGGTGACTTGAACCTCAGCATGTATATAGACCCTGTAGATAGGCATTTTGTAAATCAAATAGTGTATTGATTCCGTTATTGCAGGGGTCTGAAATTATCTGCTCGTATCCACTAACTTTGGTCACATAGTTTTTCGTTGGTTGCACACGAGGGATCGAGGTTGTCGGCTACGTCATGATGGGCAGTTCCGTCTCCAGCTGCATCTCATCCTTCCTGATTGGTCGGCTGATGAAGTGCGTCAGCAGGTTTGCACTCTTCATTGTTGGGGGCGCTACTTACCTGCTGGTACTAGTTTTCATGTTGGTCTGGGACCCTGACCAGGGCAGATTGTGGCATCTCGTTCTGATGGCTGTGGCGGTTGGCTTTGCGAGAGCAAGCATTGCTACGATAAGCTCAAGTAAGCCATCGCAAATCAAATTACGAGTCATTCACAAGTCACAGTCACAAGTCGATCACAAGTCAAATACAATTAACACTAAGTCAATCACAAGTCACAACACATGTAATTCACAATATACATCACGAGTCAATCAAATCACAAGTGACATCAAAAGAATCACAGTCAATAAAAAGCCAAATCACATGTCGATCACAGAAAGGTGACAGTGAATGAACGCTGATATATTCTGGAATGTGTCACCGATTCGGGACTGCTTAATCATCCCTTGACTTGGGACTGAATGACTTGTGAAAAACGTGATTGACCCATGATTTGACTTGTGATTTGTTGACCTGTGATGAATTGTGATTACTTGTTTAATCTCCTTGACTTACAGTTTTTGTAAACCTTACAAATTTAGGTTTACATTTTGAGTCGAAACGACTGTACATCTTTGATCTTTATTGTCATTTTTGTATATAGCTCTTTTGGGAATGCTGTTTGTATGTCAACAAGAGGCAGCGTTCGGCAATCTGTGCTTCTGGCAGTCCCTGGGCTCCGCCGCCATATTGGCCCTTGGTATCCCACAATCCATGTGTGCCTACCACGTGATCTCAATCGTCATATGCATCCTCGTGTTCGCCCTGGGCATGTACTGTTTGCTGGAGCTGCGATTGAAGCGAGAGCGGACACCAGGCGAGAAGAAGCCTGAGAAGGAGGCTGAGGGGAAAGAAATGACGACAGAAATGTTGGCTATTGCAGAGCCGACCAACAACGAAATATCAATCGACTGATGACATGTAGAGATCCCTATCATACATATGAACCTATCCAGGGGCTGTCTAGTATGCAGCTTTTACCATGAGCCGAGGTTAGCACCGGTGACTCGCGTTGCTCGCGCAGAATGCATTTTTATGAATCATGGCGGTAAAGGTACCCATAATGCTTCCCGTTCATTTTTGTTTTTTAATGAAATGAGTCGCCCCGATCACCATTCGATAATACAGTTGGTATGAGCAGCATAACAGCATACATCGAAAAGCTCTTTGTGCAAGAATTCGTTTCAGTTGAAAATTGAAACAAATATGTTTTTATATTTAAAAACCAAACATAATTATCAACATTAAGTGACTCCAATTTACAAATGTAGCTTCTGTCAAGCTGATTTTAGCATGCTGTATTCGTTTTCAAATTTTACATTTTAAACTTTTTGAAATTATAGTTTAATTTATTTACTGCAACACAGTGATTGTTATATTTTTAAATTATCAAATGTTTACTACAACACGGTGACTGTTAAAGTTCAAGGGGCTCTCGAAAGTGTTGCAAAAAGCGCCCTCTCGGTTCATGCACGGAGCCCATAAAGCATCAAATCATTTTATTGTAGAGTTTCAGGTAAATTACTGGTGGCGCTGTTTACAGTGGAGACATGGGTCAGCGTGAGGTCAGCATGCACGCGCAAGCAGGCATCGCTGTCATGCGCGTGCGCAGGCAGTTGCATGCCGTGCAGATATGGAGTGTAGCAACCTCGTCTACAGTGCTTACTTTATTTCCAACCGCGTTTCCAATAGTAAACCCTGGATAGGAAACTTTCTTCCTGTATCCAGATTGGATACCGCAATTGGCTAGTAATGGATTTTTATCGTGTACTTGGTGCAATATATTCACAACGTGCAGTACGTGTTTTCGCAATCATTCGTCCACGCCTTCTCGAAAATACTAATTTCCTTTCCAATTTGCTCATATTAATGTGAAATATGATACTGCATGTTGTCTTGATAAGATCGTAACAGTTTGATTTCAAAAATCGTGTTTTCGTAACTCACGCCGTGCTCGCGCTGCTACGAATTGACGAAAACAAACGCTAATGTGTAACGCTTATCTAGGCACCAGACTGTTCCTCATTTGCATACGTGTGCAAAAATCTTGCACATGCAAATGATCCAATACCAGAGTGAGAGAGCAGGTAGTAGTGGGCGCGTACTGCTCGACACCTTGGGGACGAGGTTGGGAGTGTAGTGGATCGTTCACGGCCGGCCGGCTGGCTCCATGAAACTCGAGGCTCCAGATTCGAGTGTTGTTCAAGATTACTGAGGTAAATCTCAAATTATTACACTGACTAATTGTTCTGAGGAAGTGATTACCAGCCATTTAGACATTGGAATGTTATGTGATTGCCACCAAGTTATTTTGTCTGTCCTTTTATTAAATAAAATTGAACCCCGAAAACAGTACACCCTACAATATTATGAGATGAACTGTTATCACTTTATTTTAAGCAAAATTGCTCTTAAATTATTCATTTGCAAGAAAAAAAACCACTCAAATTCTGGTTAGAAATTATTTTCGCTGGCACAATTTGAGTTCTCATATAATATGTCCAATTTCGTTATCATTGTACATGTACGATTACGTCCCTGTGCTGTATGTGCCGGCAGCATATAGGTATATTTATGCACACAGTCTATGGGCAAATGGCTCTAGAGGCTTCACCGCCAACATTTCGTATTCCAGTGCCTTCTGACTCGTTCGGCTTCTGTCAATACTGCCTTGACAATCAGAGGCAAACTATATTAATTGCAATATCTGTAATATTACGGCCCTCTCGGTACGTATCGTTTTCTAAAGGTTCGTTGTATACGCGGTTGTGTAATTATCTAGACCAACCTTGATTGCTGCTGAGGATTCTGTGTTTATTACCAGAAGCCGTTTCCGTTCGTACCCGGTGCCGCAGCATTTCATATCGATTCGTGACTGTTTATGACCACGATGGTCTTTATTGTTCAATTTCAGGACGATATTTTGTTAATTTCCAGACGCTATTTTGTTAAAACTGGAAACTGTAATTTAAAGGCTGTACCCATTGGCTGTAACGTTACCCGCTTCCAGCGTTAGCTCCACCCATACTGTAAGATTGAAAAAATCAGAAAAGTTTGTGCCTTCGTGGCAAGTTCAAGCTCTTTTTATGATTGGCTAGGCTTGCTATGACGTCAGGCTGTTTGTTGTGTGCGGCTGCTTAGCTGCTGAGGCGAGCGAGTGGCGTTTTGTACTCGGCGATATACGATCAACACTAACGGAGTCTCGATCATTGCGTCAATCAGGTTTAGTCTTAGTGGTCAGGCTCATGATCGTCGTGCAGTAATCTACATGCGAAGCTGGTGTGGTGTCTGTGTCGTTCATTGCATTAATCAGAGAGAGGTTCCAGTAAAGTGTTAAGTCGAGGCTCTTTTCCCATTGTTGTTCAGTAGTCAACGTGGGTATAGTTACCTTTTGTATAATTCGCGTTGGTGTGTGAGTCGTTAAATACATCCCAGCGGATTGTGCTCAGAATTCACCTGCATCTTGGACAATGGACGGAGCAGCAGCTTTGGTTCTGATGTTGTCAGCAATGGCAGGTAAGATTTAATGATCTATTATCTGTGGCACGTCCATCCTCAGACTGGTTTGTTTGGCAATATCAGACAAACTTAGCTAGATCAGGATCGGGGATACAATGTGCATCTCTCCCATTTATTTTTCAACATGAAACCCCAAGTTGCAATAGTCGTTCGCCATTGAATTTGGTGATTTGTGTCGGTTTGACAAGAAATAATTTGTGTATGTTTATGGTCACCGGCATAACCGTTAAAACAGAACGTTATATTGATAAATTAAACGGCGCGCTGAAACAGAAAGAATTGGAAACGAAACGGTGGCCGCTACATATATTACCAGTTTGTAACCACGGAAATTGAAAATTGAACTGGTAACATATACATAGATTTTAGTGTTAAGATTTTAGTATGATTAACCTTATCAAGATTGACCCTGTCAAGTCCCTTCGGGCTAGCGGAAGTATTGTGTCCCAATCCTTATTTCCAAGTACGTCAGCCGATTTTTCTACAATTGAGCAATAATGTTGGTTGGCAAATAATCCAAAATATAACCTCACTTGTTAGCGCGACGGTGACTTCAAAAGGGCACGTCGTTTCATTTTGGATAAATTCATTTATAATTTTGACATTTTTGTTCAAATTATTTAAAATTCTGTACAAACATTTTTTTGGGGTCTTTTATGGTGGTCCAGAAGCCCAACAGAATAGAAACAAAGCTGATGGAACGTTTTGTTAAAATGCATTTCTACTTTTCTGCTTTTCTGAAGCAAATTCAATGTTTTGCTGAAATTCATTGCCTTTCTGACAAAATGTTTGATCTGCTTTTCTGGCAGCAGAAAAGCCAGTGAAGGACTAACGTTAAGCGTATTTTTCTGGTACATGTATAGCAGAATATCAGAAAAGTAGAAAAATGCGGTTTAGCTAAACTTTCATTCTGCTTAATTTCTGGTAGCAGAAAATTGGTAGCAGATAGTCAGAAAATGAGAAAACCCATTTTAACAAAACTTTCAATCAGCTTTTCTGCTATGAAGTGGTTTATACCGTCAGCGTGCTAAATGCAAAGAGGGCTTAAATCACTGGAAAACCGCTGCTACTCCCAATCCGCCATAAAGCAACAAGAATTCACATCATGCCAAAAACGAAAACGTTCGGAAGGACATTTTGTCAGACGTCCTTCAAACATTTTGATGGAACAAGTTTGAAAATATTATATCAAATTGCGTTTTAGGACACTTTTCATACAAATAAGGTGTTTGAGAAAGTACGATATTTTGTTAAGTCTCCTTACATGATGCACGCTTTGACAAACCCCATTCCCATCTCTACTCCGGCTCCGTCGTCCAACACATCAACTGGTTCCCGTAGTGGGTGCATCTAATATTTAAGAGAAAAATTACTCGAGACTT